TCTACGTTGAATCACCCTCTTTCGTGGAACCATCTTCGAGTCAGCTGAATTATGACTTCACCTCAGCAGAAGCTCTCAATATGAACCCCTGGGACCTGCTGGTTGTTGTGCGGTATCATCACCGATGATGCCTTTCATTCAAGAAGAGCCTTTTTGTGTTCCTCCCATGATGGACGTCCTCGTCGATTACCATTCCTCCACCAACTCCCATCACTCAGCTCTGAACAACAGAGTGGTAAGCTCCTTATGATCTAGGAGTCACGTATTTGTGTCAGATGCACGGTTGCTCAGCGAGTGAGGTCGTGACTGCTCGGGAAGCAACGCCTTTAACAAGACAGACTGAGCGCAGTAAGACTATGAGCGATGGATTGAGTGAGTCTCTCCCTTAGTAGGTTGTCGCTCGTCACTCGAGGGAACTGCTAACAGCTCTGATAGAGTGTGCAGAGAACGCAATGATGGTGTAGCGAGATTGTCGTCGTGTTCATCTGAGGTAGGTACTTGGTTCGATCCCTTGTCGCTACTTTTAATCTTGGCTGTGTACAGGGTCCACTCTGCATATCACTCGGCAACTTCCTTGCTCGACATAATTCCTCTGAGGTGGCTCTCCGTCCCGGCGATGAAGTGAGTGCTTCACTCACTTCACTGAGAACACGAAGTGGATTTTTTGAAGCTTGATAGACGGTTTGTCGAAATGAATTCAAGGAATGTTTCTGAGTTGGAGCCTCATCGCGACTGTTCATTATGGAACTGATTATATCTAAGAATTTCAATCTCAAATTAGTTCATCTCTGTAGGTAACAATCCTAGACGCTGGTGAAGGGTGGTCGGAGATCTACGTACACAGAACGGGAGAACGTGGCTTCGCTCCGTCGGCGTTCCTCATGCTCCATCCGTTCACACACCAGTCGAGCTGTTGAACATAACTTTCTGTATTCCTCTCGAGAATCCTTGTTTTTCGAGATTACTTTTGAAGGTCGATCACGAGATCAAGTAGCCGCAGTACTTTCTCTATACTCTTTTTTTCATCTGCCGCGTTTCTGGCAAAAAAAACTGTGTACTCCCAAGCCGACAATCGGTGGTGAGAGTTTATGATATAACGTAAGGTCGATCGAGATGAAGAACATATTTCCCTGTGGCGGAAAATCGAGTATAAACTATTACAATCTTAGTAGTGTCATACTACTACAATTCTGATATTCTTCGCTGTGCGCAAGATGATATTATCTATCCTTTGGTGAGGCTGATTTGAGACATGCGGCATGTCTCTTACCAACCACTTGTTGGTGTGTTGTAAGATTCGTTACATCCCGTTACGTGTATTTTCCAATTATCCGGCTTTATGTAGTGTTAGTGAATGAGACAGAAAATTTTCACGAAAAGTTTCAGAAAAGTATACGAAAAGCAATAAAAATTTCCCAAAATTTTCTCATTATCATCAAGGTATGTAGCTGACCATATTCATATTCTCTCACACTCCTAGGTCGGATTGTATTTCTCTATGCCAGGCGCGGATGTCAGGGCTGATCAGGATGCGCAACAACCGGTGAGTGCGGTGAATCTATTCGATCTTGATAATGAGAAATTCTGAGCTTTATCAGTGATGGAAACATTCGAGGCGTTGTTCACTAAACGGCTTCGTTTCAGGTCCCGATTGCCCGTCGGCAGAGCTCAGTAGCCACAGCGGCTGCTGGTGATGGTGATAGCCAATCAAGTACGCGCGGCAGCAGCTCGAGGTTCTTTCATCCCACGGCGTGGTTGTCGTGCATTATGGCATGCTGTTCTCGAGAAATATCATTCATACAGTGCGTGCCAGTTTGATATATGCGCGTTTTCTATTCCGGGATTAATGATAGTGAACAAATCTCAAAATATTAATTTTATCACATCACATGTTCATAGCAATGTTAATATTCTTTAGCCTCGGAGTATAACACACACTTTTTACATTTGCATATCATATTGACATTCACTGTATAGTAGTCGGCAAGAGGCCCCTCACAGATCTCCTTCACCCTCAAACAATGAGACAACCTCATACCCATTCTAATCCGCTCCATGCACAGTACTGTTTAACGTGTATACATGGCAGACGTTCGGGAGAGGGAAGGCAACTGAAGGTCTAGTTACCTTGATCATATTCGTTGAGTTCCACTTGGTGTTGACTAGGTTGAAGCCCTGTTGGAGACGGAGCGGTCTCGAGAGTTTCCTAGTTACGAAGAGCTGCGTGATAAAGGGTAGCGTTGGCGTGTTAATCTGATATGCAACTGTGGAGAATGTGCGTTTTTTTCTATTCCGGGATTAATGATAGTGAACAACTTGTCGCTATCACAGTCTCGAAAGGTTACTTTTATCACATCACATGTTCATAGCAATGTTAACATTGTTTATGCGATATAACTTCGGATCGATCTTTATTAATTTTTCGCAACTGGATGTCAAAGCTGTACTGCTAGTTGAGAGTATGGAAGCATATGGTCAACTACATGTGTTGATGAGTCATCAATGATGACAATCTGGAAATTCATATATTCCTACTCCAACACTGCTAGCTGGTTGTAGGTACCTAGTCCCTGCTGATGTAGTAGTAGCAGGTAAGTCTGTGAGGTGGTGCTTAATGAGAGCATTTCAATAGATACGGTGGGAGGCTTGAGGAATCCATCTGATCGGGTGAGTGGGCTTACCTGAAGTAACGTGTTGAGGAAAGCCTCAGAAATTACAAGATGTGAAGATGGTCAGACAGGAAGCCGACTTTAAGAAGAGGTTAGTTCATCGCTCTATGCTCAGATGTTTACAGTACGTGTGAATTTGATCGATGCAAATGTGTGTTATTTTGTAGGACAAATTATAGTGAACAAGTTGTCGCTATCATCACAGTCCCAAACGGGTACTTTCATCACAACATATGTTCATAGCCATTGTATATGCGATATAGTTTAATCTCGGAAAATAATAACACACATTTGCATATCAATTTGATACGCACTGTATACTGCCAAGCAAAATCCATCATCCTCGTTGGGGGAATTTCATGGACGGGAAAAATAAAAATCATCTACAGAAGGGTTGACTCGAGCGCAGTGCGACGTGAAATCGATTGGGGATTCTCATCTTGATAGTATTTAATACTTCACCACGATGTTTTTATCAGAAACGTCCCCGCGCTGTTCCTGGAGGAGTGTCTTGATACTGTATACGGCGCGACCATTGGATACGACGTGGCTCGCGCTTTGGAGGAGGAGACGAGGCTGGACTGTGAGTATGGGCATTTCGTGGCGCGTGACGGTGATGGTCACCCATATCGACAGCACTAGCTTCCTCGAGTTGGAACCGAATTGTGGTAATTGATTCGTGCGATGAGGCTTTTAGTAACGCGATGAAGTTGGGAATTTATGAAACTCCTGAGGAGCAGGGCATTGTACAGGGATAGTTCCTGCCCTACTGGGCTGATATCAATTACTATAACTATCAGATTGATAACATTCAGCTTCTGAGTGTTCTCAACCAGAGTACTGAATGTAACCAGTGGCAGAGCCTTGTTATATGGGCACCCTTAGTAGTAGTAGTAGTAGTAGTAGTAGTAGTAGTAGTAGTAGTAGTAGTAGTAGTAGTAGAGTAGAGAGAGAAGTAGTAGTAGTAGTAGTAGTAGTAGTAGTAGTAGTA